TAAAAACAAATTTGAAACTAAGGGTTTCAGATTGTCATGTCAATATTTATTTAATTTCATTAATGTCAAATACTTGAGTCTTAAAAATTTAGAAATATGAAAAGTGCAAGTGCACACACAGACTTGACACAGTCTCACCCACTCGTTCACAAAAATAACGGCACAAATCAAGTAAACTGACTCTTGTATCATGAACAACATGTCAAATATCTGAAGAAAAGTGCAATAAAATAACTGTAAACATCTTACACACATACACACTTGACACACAGTCTCACTCACTCATTCACACACGCAATCACACTTACTCTCTCACACACGCAATCACACTTAAACTCTCACACACTCTCTCTCTCGCTCTCTCTCACACACTTACACTCTCTCTCACACACACTTACACTCTCTCTCACACACACTTACACTCTCTCTCACACACACTTACACTCTCTCTCACACACACTTACACTCTTTCTCACACTCTCACACACTTACACTCTCTTTCTCACACTCTCTCTCACACTCTCTCTCACACTCTCTCTCACACACTTACACTCTCTCTCTCACACACACTTACTCTCACACACACTTACTCTCACACACACTTACTCTCTCTCACACACTTACACTCTTTCTCACACTCTCTCTCTCACACTCACACACTTACACTCTCTCACACACTTACACTCTCTCTCTCACACACTCTCTCTCTCACTCTCTCTCTCTCACACTCTCTCACACACACTTACACTCTCTCTCACACACACTTACACTCTCTCACACACACACTCTCTCTCTCTCACACTCTCTCACTCTCTCTCTCACACTCTCTCTCTCACACTCTCTCTCACACTCTCTCTCTCACACACACACACACAAAATAAGTTTTAAAACAGTGTGCATCAGAACAGCACTTAAGATGACCTGAAATAAACTAAACACAAGAGTCCAACTATTCTTTAAAAGAAAACACAAATTGAATGTCTCAAAGTTGACTCTGAGGAAGTGATGTAGTGTTCAACAAATCTTGACATTGGCAGGTTCTTCTTGAGGAATATGAGCATTTCTGCTCTCTGCAGTTAGACGCTTCCTTTTCTCATCCACGATATTGGCTGCCGTGCTAAACAGTCTAGCCTCAGCGCTATCCTGCTAGTCTGCTAGCTGGCTGCAAACTGTGGAATGGATTCCTGAACGAAGGCGCGGCTCAATGAGACACAGTTATGAGACACGCTCAGGAAATCCATTCCACAGTTTGCAGCCAGCTAGCAGGCTAGCAGGCGGGGATCACTTTTTGAGTCATTTCAGCAGACGACGTTAAAGCGCAGACATGGCTCATTGATATCGGAAATCTCCAAAGGTTGTATCGGAAAATCCGATACCCGAATTTCTCGGGTATCGGATCCCGATACGATACTGGATCGGATCGGCCCCATCCCTAAATCATACCGTTATTTCTACCAGTAAGTTGTGGCAGAAGCTGCTGGGTTTTGCAGATTCATTTAAAATTAAAGCTGCGAGCAGCGTTGGACGGGCCCTCGCTACTCTGCACGTCGGGGCACTGGCCGGACAGCTAGAAACGCAGCCAAGAACCCTTGCGGCCGTCCGAGAGTCAGTCGTTGTTAACCGTGTGGAGCGACGCGAAAGGTCATACTAGGCCTGCAACAACGAATCAATGAAATTCGATTATTAAAAGCGTTGGCAACGAATTTCATTATTGATTCGTTGTGTGATTATTACGTCACTCAATGAGTTGCGGAGATGTGCGCGGAGAAAAACTAAAAAAAGAGGCGCCGCATCGACGTAGAGGAAAGAGCAGCAAGCAGCGTCGGCAGAGACGTCTGTTCGACTAGTCGTCCAAGGTGTGCGAGCATTGGGGGGAAGGAATGTTGCACGGGAGCACCACGTTGTCCCGTGTTGACGTGAGGAACGTAACGAGCCTCCAGTTTACTCATCATCCAGCTGATCAAGCTAGCGTTAGCTCGCTAATAACCGCAGTAAAGCAGTTAGCAAGACTAAGATGTTTTTATTTACTCGCCTCTTTTGGACAATTCATTTTTCAATCTGTTGTCTTGTATATATTTCGTGCTTTGTCCCATATCGGTTATTGTTGACAAATATATGTGTGTGTTCTACTGTGTGTTTTAATGCGGTCATAAACGGTAGTCCAGTGCGTGTGCGCATATAGTGTTGGTTACAGGGTAGTTGATGTTATGCCTGTAAAGGGAGACACCCAGTGATCCATTAAGTCAACTAAGAAGCCTCTAATGCATTTATTTACAAATTCCATTTTAAACTCATCTCATAGCACTTGTTTTTTAGCTGTACGTGAACGTGAACGTGGGGGTGTGTTTGTGAGTGAGAGTTTGTGTGTGTAGTATAGAGAACAAGTTCTGACGTTAAAACAAATCCTGTTAAATTTTCTGATTTGTATTTTTCTTTTTTATAAATTATGTTCAAGGAGCAACTTGTACTTTCTAAAGTATTTTTGCAATGTGAATTTGCTGTTTTAGAATAAAGGGTTGGAAATTAAAGCTTGTTAATGCAGATTTTTTGATCCGATTCATCGATTAATCGATTATCAAAATAATCGTTAGTTGCAGCCCTATGTCATACATTACCAAACCTTCTTAAATCTCATTTACCAGCCTTTTTATCAATTTCAGATGGTATTTAAAAAGGAAACGATCAATAGTTACATGATGATTCCACATAAGGCAGAGTGTACACATCCCCAAGGTGTCACCCAGGGATAAGCAGGACATTCTGATGTACTATTCCAAAATGAAAGCCTCTCAAAATACCATACATGAGCCCAAATCTTAATCACAAGACTACATCTGGTCAATTTCAGATTAGATTTAAAAGGAAAAAATCAATAGCTAGTCTCATCAAACATGTGTAAATTGGAAAGAATCCAATGATGTGGAGTACAGTGATCCCTCGCCACTTCGCGGTTCACTTATCGCGGATTCGCTATTTCGCGGATTTTCATAATGCATTTTTTTTTTGGTGCATTGTGCTCTGCATTCTGATTCGCTAAAAACTCACTCCCGAGCCGTTCATTACAGTTCTCCAACGTAATCGATGGTGGCATGTCGGTGTACAAGGATCTTTTTGCAAAGAAGAAAAAAGAGCGACAACAGCTGCCTATCACTATGTTCTTCTCCCGAACAAACACACCTGCACCGCGGGCTTCAGAAGAAGAGAACACTGCAGAGCGCAGTCAGGATGCAGCGGCCCAGTCTGAAGAGCAGTGAAACGGCCTACACGCGAGTCACTGTAATAGTTGCTAATTGTAAAAAAAAAAAAAGTTTTCTATTTCGCGGATTTCACTTATCGCGGGTCATTTTCGGAACGTAACCCCCGCGATAAACGAGGGATTACTGTAGTCACAACGGTTGAGTTGTAAAAAAAAAAATACGTTCATCTTCCTGTTGTCACCAGGTACCGCTATAACTACAGGGTGAGAAGTTCATGCTATATGAGAAATATGGTGCATATTAGATAACTCAAACCCACACTTTGGGAATCGCTGATATAGAGATTAGTTGACATATCACCAGCCTGGTAGTGAATGTAGAATAAGATATTTGTGAACGTAGAAGTAATTTGGTAGATGTTCAGTTAGGACATTGTCTTGTGAACAGATTGAAAAAATTTGTTTAAAAAAAATAGAGCCGAGTCAAAACTATATTCGTCGCGAAAATATTTTTCGTCCACTGATTTTTCATTTTGATTATTGTTTTTTCCCCAATGTTCAACATCAAAACTTTCAGGTTCACATTTGTTTTTCAAATGAACAAAACTTTGGATCTGGATTTGGCTCCATACTAAGAGCAATCATCATTGAGTAATTCGTAATTAGCATTGACAGCAAAAACAGTGTGATCAAGGAAGAGGTTATATCTGCTGCCTTTTGTGCTGATCCGAGGCAAGACTTAATGCCTGAGGATTGTATTGAAGAGGTCAGATCAGTGCGTCTGCAGCTTTAACTGAAAAAAAACACATTTTCACAGCAAAACCTTAAGACAGGTTGTTTTTTTTACCATGTGGTATAATGCAATATTTTCACTTGACATATCAACTATATGTTTGACACATTACTTCATTTTTTTCAACTTCCCTGAAATTTGGACAATGTTTTTACAGTTTACATGAGCAGAAATCCACTGCAGTCTGTATTCAGAGATAAATTGGTGCCACGTGCAAATGTGTATAGCAGCTACTTCCCCACACAAAAACGGACTAAAGAGCATTCACTCGTGCGTGTATAGAGATAACAATGGACGAGATAATAATATACAGGACAACACATACTTGATAGCATACAGCCTACCAGGGACCTTGGTGTATATAAAATACCTGTATGAGTTATACGACGTGACACCTGAGCGCTGTGTTTACCTTAACGGGCATAGCGTCATTTCCGTTATGAAACGATGCCAAAAGAATAGCACAAATCAGTGCATGGAAATGACCAATGGTTCAAGACAACAAGTGCTTGACGGCCAGTCTCCTGGGGGAGATCCTAACCTCCTTTCTAACGTTTAGTGGTTGGAGAAGGAGGTTAGGATCTCCCTCCCCCTCCTCCATCTCTACGGAATAACCATGCGCGTGATTTGCAGACTGCAGCCACAGAAGAAAAAAAGCGCGGCAGCCGCAAAATTGCACAAATGTGTGCAAATTAACGTTAAGCTATTACTGAAAGAAAAGGGTTTCCGAGTTATAATTGCATAAGAGAATCGTCTAAGCAGGCATACTGAACGTGGATTTTGTCACCATGCATGCCATACATTCTAGCAACACGCACAACACACTCAATGCATAAGGATGGGAGAGCATTCCAGAAATTGACGTTTAATTTGATATACACGGAATATTTTGCATTCACCTAACGCCGGAGCGGGCAAACGAGCAGCTCCACCACCTCTCCCACAGGGACAGGGCAACATGGCTGGCGCGTTCTCCCCGCTAGTAGCTAGCTAACCTAACGAGAGCCTTACCTTTTCAGAGAATGCTTCGGAGCGGCTGTGTGGGCTCGTGGTCGGTCCGAGTGAAAGCACCGTGATTACTCACAAGTAGACACACAACTGCCCCGGGAATGAGTGGCGTGCTTCGGGTGGAGCTTTACCCCCAATGTGTTAAGCTACCGAAAAACACAATAGCCTCGGCGTCGCTAACAACCAACACCGACCCGGTTCTGCCCGCCAACAGCGCCACCGGACGCCACGTCACCGGATGGTCTGGTAGGCAATGCAATGTGGGAGTTGAAGTCTTCTCCATTAGAGTTTACTGTTTTTTATTAACAATTATGTTGCAAGGGTGAGTTTAAATATTTGGAATTAGACTTAGCAAAAGGAACCAATTTTCAAGGCTTCAAGTTAAAATGAGATAGCCCTGCTAAATATATTTTATTTTATTTTATTTATTTATTTGTTTTTGTTTGAATTCTATTATTATCCTATTTGATTTGATTACGTTCTTGCTCAATTTGAGGCAGAACTTTTCCTGATGACTGAAACATGTTATGAGGCCTTGATTGTAAATACCTTTTTAATTTGGCTGTTTAACAAATATATACAAATTTAAAAAAAGCTTTGACTGCATTACCGCCTCCAACTGGACTGGAGTGAGCAGCAAGAGATTGTGCAGGAAAATAAACAAGGTGTTTCAGCATTTTGGCTAAGATCACTTTCATTTTTGGCTGTTGCCATCTTGCTTTTTTGCAACCAGAAGTTACACAGGAGGGGAGTTATTAGGAATGCTGAAAATAAATTTTTGGAGTGAACAGGACGTTACAATTAACTTTCAGGAATTGAAAACAAACTGAAAGGGAGACAAGTCACAAAATTTGTGAAATTAGTTTTCACAAGCGGAAGCTTTCGCCTGTTGAACAGCATTTGCAAGCTGGTCATGTTCACTTCAGCATACAGCATTTCTGCAATGCAATACATCAACGTCTTTGAAATAGCACTGAAACCATCAGCTGCATCCTCGTTATTCCGGGACCCCCATAGACCCACACGTTACAGTGGCACCCAACGTGGCTGGGGGGTGGACATGGCAGACGACGACCATTGTGGCGATGATCGGAGGACTGGCGGCAAATCCAGAGGGAGCAGGCGGAGGCCAACCGGCAGTTCCTGGGGGCGCTCCAGGCCCAGGTGGGTGACTCCACCTGAGGCCCAGGCGCTGGAACAGCTGGCTGCCCGGCCCGTGGCCGCGCCACCAATACAGGGGCCTGCAGTGCTCGCCGGCCTCACGCTCCACCGAATGGCGGCGGGGGATGACGTCCAGACGTTTCTGGAGGCCTTCGAGGCGACTGCGGAGGCATGCGGCTGGCCGGCGAGGGAGTGGCCGGTCCGGCTTTTGCCTCTCCTGAACGGGGAGGCGCAGATCGCGGCCATGGGGCTGCCACCGGCGGTGCGGCGCGACTACGCCAACATTAAAAAGGCCGTAGTGGACAGACTGGGGATGTCGCCGGAGGACCACCGGCGGAGAGTCCTCAAAGCCAGGCTGAGTCCGCAGGACCGAACGTTCGCATACGCCGCATACGAGTGGCTGAAGGACGCCGCCACGAGGTGGCTGCAGCCGGACGGTGCGGGAGGGGTCCAAGAGGTGATGGCGCAGGTGCTGCTGGAGCAGTTCGGGGAAGGGGCTCCCGGCCCGGACGGCTGAGTGGATCCGGTACCACTGTCCAATGACCCTGGAGGCAGCTATCACCCTGGCGGAGGACCACCTGGCGGTGCATTCCAGCGGGCAAGGGGACCGGGAGAGCCCGCCGGCGTCGGCCCGACTAGGGGCTGCACCGCGGCCAACCGAGTAACCCATACCGGCTCCGCGGCGGGCGCCCTTCTCCCCAGCTCGCGACCCACCGACCCTAGGCGACGCAGGCGCCGTTCCCAGCCTACAGGGAGTTTCTCGAGCGCCGGGGCAGGAGTGTTGGAGATGTGGGCGGTTCGGACACCGCCGGAGAGATTGCCCGCTGATGGAGGTGGGACAGGTGATCCGAGTTGCCGGCGTTCCAGCACCTTCACCCGGTCCGGGAGCGACGTGAGGTGAGGTGAGTCGTGACACTCAAAACACCCAGTTGCTGGTGCCTAAAAGGGGTACGAAAAAAGGCTAGACCGGATAATGACACGATTTTATTGGCCAGGCATCCGGGGTGACGTGCGCTGCCGGTGCGCGTCCTGCCCGGAGTGTCAATTAGTGAACCCTCCAGCCATTCCGAGGGCGCCGTTGGGTCCTCTACGTTGGTGGAGGTTCCGTTCGAGCGGATCGGCATGGACCTCATCGGGCCATTTCACCGGAGCGCACGCGGATATCGCTTTGTGTTAGTCCTGGGCTGGAGGAAAGTATGAATAAGACTCTGAAGTCCATGATCCGTAAATTTATTAGCAAAGATGAACGTAATTGAGATCACTGGCTTGACCCTCTGTTGTTTGTAGTGTGGGAGGTTCCCCAGGCCTCCAGGGGATTTTCTCCACTTTGAACTTCTGTTTGGCAGGACACAGAGGGGGGTACTGGACCTAATTAAAGAAAACTGTGAGGAAGGGTCCCGAGCCCCGGCAAGACGAGATCCAGTACGTCCTTGACCTGCGAGCAAAGCTCGACACATTGGGCCGGATGTCACGGGAGAACGACAGAGGAGCCAGGCTGCGACGATTCACACCTTCTTCCAACTCCAAACTCCTGGCTAAGTGGCAAGGGCCCTTTGAGGTGACACGGCAGATGGGGGACGTCGACTATAAGGTGGTGCAGTCTGACAGGGGCGGAGATACGCAGATATACCACCTGAACCTTCTGAAAGCTTGGAGTTTGCCCGAACACAAGAGAGAAGTGGTTCGGGGGGAATTGGTGAGTATGTTGGAGTTGGGGGTAATAGAAGAGTCCAACAGTGCCTTGAGCAGTCCCATTGTCCTTGTGGCTAAGAAGGATGAATCTGTACTGTTCTGCGTGGACTATCGCAGGGTGAATGATGTGTCACGGTTCGAGGCCTACCCAATGCCCGACACTGGATTCAACCTACTTGGATGATGTCATTATCCACAGCACCACCTGGGCGGCGCATGTGCGGCAGGTGGGCGTGGTGCTGGAGTCGCTGGGATGGGCTGGGCTTGTTAAGTTCAAGGAATGATTCCAATAAGAAGAGTTTTCTGGTTTGCATGAAATCATTTTATTGTCTATTAACTTTCAACTCTAATAAGCGCGGGGAAAAGGCCTCTCGGGAACAAAGGCCTTGTGGAGTCTGTCTGTTCTCCCAACACCCGCGACGCGCCTCTGGTTCTTTTATCCTGGGTAATCCAGAGAAGCCACGCCCACTTCAATCAGGTATGTCCATACATGGATACATACGTCACACCTGGTCAACTCCCTATTACCGTGGAAGCGTCTCCATTGGTAGAGCCAAACAATCTGCAATGACAGTAATTAGGGACATGCAATATAGCCACAACATACTCCGGCCCGATGAACTTTTCTTCAGTCTATGTTCATCCACTTCCAGCGGGTAGAGTGACTGTACAGGTCTCCTAAACACAAATCCAGACGGCAATCGTACAGCACATGATCGGATTTTACCGTTTCTTCTCATGGATGTCTCATCAATGCAGAGACTAGAACATTTAATTGGTATCAAAGGAACTGCACTCAGCTGGTTTAAATCCTACTTATCGGATCGATCCCAGTTTGTGCTTGTAAACGGTGAATCCTCAAAGACCACCAATGTTGGTCACGGAGTCCCACAAGGTTCTGTACTTGGACCGATTTTATTTACCCTCTATATGCTTTCTTTGGCCGATCTTATCCGGAAACACCGCATAAACTTCCATTGTTATGCAGACGATACTCAACTGTATCTGTCGATCAAGCCAGAAGAGACGGACCAGCTAGTTAGACTTCAAGAATGTCTTGGAGACATCAAAACTTGGATGACCGGCAACTTCCTGATGCTAAACTCAGAAGTTATCTTGATATCCCCAGAGCGCCTTCGAAGACAGCTGTCACGTGATACAATTTTTATGGATGGAATTGCTCTGGTACCCAGCAGCACCGTCAGGAATCTGGGAGTTCTCTTCGACCAGGATATGACCTTCAACTCGCATATAAAGAAGACTTCAAGGACTGCCTATTTTCATCTACGTAACATATCAAAAATCAGGAACTTCCTGTCTCAAAGTGATGCAGAAAAATTAGTTCATGCGTTTGTCACTTCCAGACTGGACTACTGTAATTCTTTGTTATCAGGCTGCTCTTGTAAATCTCTTAAGCCTCTCCAGTTGATTCAGAATGCTGCAGCACGTGTATTAACAAGAACTAAGAAAAGGGATCATATCACTCCTGTATTAACTTCTCTGCACTGGCTCCCTGTTAAATCAAGAATTTTAAGGTACTTCTCCTCACCTACAAGGCACTTGCTGGTGAGGCACCATCCTATCTTAAAGAGCTTGTAACACCTTATTGCCCTACAAGGCAGCTGCGCTCCATAGATGCTGGGTTACTTGTTGTTCCTATGGTTTTAAAAAGTAGGCTGGGGGCCAGAGCCTTCAGTTATCAAACTCCTCTTTTGTGGAACCAGGTTCCACTTTCAGTCCGGGGGGCAGATTCGGTCAGCTCTTTTAAAGTAAAACTTTCCTCTTTGATTCTGCTTATAGTTAGGGCTGGCTCAGATTAGCCCGGACCAGCCCTTAGTTAAGCTGCTATAGGCTTAGACTGCCGGGGGACTTCTTAGGACACACCGAGCCCCTCTCTTAGGCTCTCGTTCTACAATAATTCACGTTTTTTAAATGCACATGACTAATTCAGCTTCTTTCCGGGAGTTTTTTTGTGCTTTCTTCCCTAGCAGGTCTCTGTAGATCGTAGTTCCTTCTGGACCCTGGTCCTGACACCTGCCGTGGCCCTGCTGACGCTTGCTGCTGCCATCATCATTATTATTATTATTTTAGATAATAATCATATTACTGTACTCGTAAACCAACATTACCCTTTCCTAAAAGCTCTGTGCTCTCCCTCCCCACAGGCTTCTGTGGATGGTGGTTCTATCTGATGGTGGTTGCCCCTACAGTGGTC